GCGTCTACTGGACAGGAGTGGACAGAACTGACGGGGATTCCATGCTGGCTTCCCTGAGCGAGGCCATCATGGCCTCGGCCACAGCGCATGCAGCAGCCTTGGGCGATAACTGTGCGACACATTGAAATAATGGAGACAGTGCATCGAAATAATGGTTAGACGCCATCTTCACAATAGCAGAAGTGCAAGTTGGGCATTTGGGCGGGCGATGTGCATTCACCGCCTGCTCAGCCAAGCGGCCTCCGTGTTGGAGCAGCCCAGATGGGGCGATGACGAGGGCGAGACAACAGTAAAGGTAGAGACAACACCAAAGGCAGGGGCAAAAACACCACCAACAACGAATGTATTCCGTGTTTGTTTCACCTCAGAGGGCATTGCCGTTTTGGAGAGACTTGTAGGTTTAACCGCCCATTCGTCCACCACAACCACGGTTTGGAGGTCAAAAGCGCTGCCCCGTAGGCTTGCCGCATATGGTTCCTGCTCGGGCATTGTGGCAACGAGTGCCCACTTCAAGGTTCCATGGGCGCTGGGGAACCCGGGGCCGGGCCTGGGCAAGAAACAAATTAAGACTAATGAGCGGAGGGCTTTCTGGATACCACGACAGCCGTAAGCGGAGCCGGATCGGAATCGGCCACCTTGCATCGCAACAGAACTCGGCTGGGTCCTCCTCGGGCGGCGGCTTGCAGCAGGCCCCGCCCGCGCAGCCACGACCGAGCGCCACGATGGACCCTTTGTCCCAGATGGCGCAGCACTTCATGGGCGACCAGAAGGCGAATTACATGGCCAGCAAGGAATCCCTACAGGGGGTTCTGGAAAATGATGCGCGCACCGGCTGTGAGGCTTATTCTGGGCACCGGCGCTTCCTGCCCAGACCCTTGCCTGGCAATGGCTGGCGACGCCGGCGCAGAAATACACGTTGCTTATGGACGCGACTCTTGTCTTGCGCAAAACCAGCGACCGCTGCCCCACCCCTTCGTCCTAGACGCCGCCAAAAGTTACACCACGGTGCAGGGGCAGGGCGACGTCGAGCGCGACTGCGCGTTGTTGCGAGGCTGTCTACTGTGCGAAACAGCCACGTGTAGCCTCTTATCGATCATTTTGCTGACCGATCTCGGGTGGGGGTATTCGCAGCACTGATCGACCTTGCTGGTGCCGCGTGCACTCTATCGCGGTGGAGTAATCTCTACTTCTAGGTATTCGCCCAGCCCATCCTCCACGCACCCCTCAACCAGGCGATCTCCTCGACGATCGGGGGGCAGGAGCCGGGGCCGAGGAGGGAGGTGGCGGCGGAGGAGGATTTCCCATGACTTCGCCCAGCCCGCATGCAGACGCGTTGTCGCGGCCGACTGGAGGCGCAAAAGTGGCCAGGTCGCCGCGCCTTGTTGGCTGCCGTACTGGGGGCAGCCGAGGCTCGGAGTCGTGCCCTGCAGGGTCCGCACAGCCGCCGCTGCTGTCCGCGCATCTTGCTCGCCGCCGCGGCCGCGACAGGCAAGGCTTGGAGTCGCGTCCTGCGGGGCCCAGGCGAGGAACGGCGACGCGAAGCTCACAAGGGGCATTTTCGCCCACTTTCCCCCGCCACCTATCCAGACGTCGTTCGACGCCGCGCTGGCCACCCCCGCTGCCTCTTCTGACGGAGACGCGCCAGGGATAGCGAAGAGCGCACCCCAGTTCTTGTCAGACACTCCAGACGGCGCCGTCGTGGATATGCCCGTTTCGGTTCCAGCCCCGCGCGCGCCAGTCCAAGTGTCCACAGTTCGTCCTGGGCCGAGGTGTCTGAGTGTTTCGTCCGAGGCGCCGCCCTGTGCAGTGCCTGGCATCGTGGCCCCTCCTCGCCAGCAGCGTTGCGCAGCCGCCGCCGCTCGCGACATGCTGGTCGACGACGCGAAGTACCTCGACCAAACGGCGTCCCGCTGTGACCCGCGTCGCTTTGTTTCCAGCGCGAGCGGCAGCTGCGGCTCGAAGAATGCGGGCGGCAGCGACAGGGGAACGCAGACCAGCGAAGGGGCGTCTGCACAACAACTCCGCTTTTGCGAAGCGCCCAGGAAACGGCCGAGGCCCGGCGTCGCGCCCAACTGCGTCGTTTCGTCCGCGGGCTGACGTCGGCGCCGGGGTCGCGAAGAGGATGGCCCGGAGGCTGGGCGAGCGCCGCCGGCGCGCTGCAGCCAATGCGCGCCTGGCGCGACCTGCAGTTGGGCCAGGTGCCAGCTCTAATGCGCCAGTGAGGTGTCGACAAATCCGACGACGACTCCTTCGAAGCCAGGTGATCTGGAGCGCTGACCGGCGACGCATTCCCCGTTCAGGTAGCTCGCGACGCGCGATTTTGAGATCTTCTCGACGCAGTCACGAGACGCGTTCGCGGCACATCCGGCCTCTTTCTGGAGAACGGCACCTCTTTGAATCACCTCCGCGGCGACTACGTGGTCAAGGACGCCCCCGACTTGGATGCGCGTTCGGCGTCTCGAGCAAGCGATGCACTTGAGGCGCTTCCGCCAGCCCAGCGGCGCAACGCTGCGAGGCCAGAGCCTTCGGCCGCGCAGCGGGCCCTGAGGAACAGCCACAGGATCAACGACAAGAAAGCCCCGAAGGCGGCGCTGAAGTGCGCAAGGCCCAATGGGATGCAGCGCCGGCGTCGCAGTATTAGGGGGCGCGTCCAGGGCTGATGGCGCTCCGCCGTCGCCTGGGCCCAGGTCGCCGCCAGTGGCGTCTTCGCGGCCAGCGCGCCTGCCCATCGGAAGGCCTCCCCCGTCTCGCCGCGCAGCGTGATCGCCGCGCTTGCGCGCGCCATTGAGCTGGGCGGAAATTCGGGCGGTCCATCAACGCGATGCACGCATCATTTGCGAATTTCGAACGAGCGCGCGCGCGCCAGACCCCCCACATCCATTTTCTTTGTTTTCCTGTCTGTCGCGCGCCGCTTGCGCCCGCCGCTGCAGACTTCCGCCCCCCCGCCTTGTCGCAACAGCGCGGCGAGGCGGCATGCGCGCCGAAACTAAGGTGCCGCCGCACTCTGGTTCAAGCTACCGCGGCACAGTGTGTTTTTCTTTTCCCCCCTCCCGCAAGAGGATCTAAACGCGCTACAGGCATTGGCCCCGCTAAGGACGAATCGAAGCCTCGGCCCCCCAGCGCTCCGATATCACAACGTCCATGTCAGAACAAAGGGTCGCGACGCAAGGGGGGGCCGCACCCTTCGTTTCCACGTGGATTTTGTCGAATCGGAGTTCTGGGGCGCTGCAAAATGGATTTCGCTCGGAGGCGGAAGAGCCCCCAAACTCCCCAACACCCCTCCGACATCAAAAGGCTTCTGGGATGCTCACCCCAGATATCCCCAATCTCCATGTGAAAACACCGGTATCGCGAAGTATCCGTCGACGCGCTAACGGCAATGCAGGTATCGGCGATGCAGGCTGCGGCTTTGTAGGTGGGACTGGTTCGTGGCCAGACAAATTGTAGGACCTGATGATGTGCGCGTTCCTAGAATTCGTTGCGTCGTTATCGCTCGATACATTCGCACATTAGAAATGCAGGAAAGCGTGGCGCGTGATATCCTACAATATGTTCTGTGCGAGCTCGGCGTTACAACAATCAAATTCCCAACGTCGCTGTTAATCGACATCGCCGTTCGCGCGGCCTTGGAGTTAGGGGAAACCACGCCCTGTGTGTTCGCATGGTTTTTGGGATTAGGAGCACTGGGGGGCTGCAGAGTGGATTTTCGCTCGGTGGAAAATTCCCCCAAATCCCCAGCATCCCTATGGAATCATACAATTTCTGCGACTCTCAGCCCAGAAACCCCCAGCGCCCAAATTAATCCGCAAGGTTCGGAGGAGGGGGTGCGATAGCACACGGGATGTATTTGTTGAGCGACGCAGCGAGGAGTGAGAGAAAGAAAGAGAAGGAAAGCCAGAAAGAGAGATGCCAGCAGGGAGTGCGATGAGATGGATTGGGAAGGATAGCGACGGAAGCAGGGAAAAGCGGAGGATGAGGCAGGGATCGACACAGGGAGGGCGATGGGGGAAGAAGCATAACAAAGATAATGATGCGTGGATGGAGGAAGCCGGAAAAGGATGAAAAAACAGGGATGGGAGGACGGTGAGGGAAGAAAACATGCAGGCCGATAGTAGGAATAAATTGATGGGGAGGGAAGCACGACGAGAAAAAGAGAGGTATCGCGACAGGGAGGACGATGCCGTGAATAAGCATGAGTGGTAATAGGAAGTGGGCGGGGAAACAAACAGCAGAGAAAGGATGCAGAAGAAGGGCGAATGCGCGGGGACGGATGGAGAGAAGGAGGACGACCATTGAGAGTACTAGTGGACATTTCAACGGCCGATGCAAGTCAGTGGGCGTTGTAGGTAGACGCGTATCTGTATAAGTGAGTTTGCCATCTGCGTTGTGCAACTTATGCGGTGGAGCTTCTGTTGCGCAATCTACCTGGTGCAGTCTATGTTGTTGAGCGATCAGAAATCGCGCCGCAGGCGCCGTTTTCCTCTTGCACTGTACGTGGTGCATTCCAACGGCGGCGACGGGGCGGCGACGGAGCCGCCAGGCGACCCCGAAGTGCAAGCATTGCTTTCTGGGAAAATCCGCATGAACGTACATTCTCGGAGCTCGGCATGTGTGCCATGGATCGGCGCTGGGCCCCTTTTGCGGCGCCTCCCGCGCCGCCCCTGGCGCGCTCCGCTCGCCAGGAGGGGGACCCAGCAATCCCAGAAAATCCGCGCGGACCTCCCACAGATCATGTTTATGCCGTTTGTTGTTCCTCCAGTGTTACTCCTGCGTTTTGTCAATCCGGACGTTTGTCGTCGATTTCGATCCCTAGGGGCCGTTGTTGGGCCTCGGGGCCAGCCCGCATGGATCCGGGACGGAAAATTGAACCTGGGAAGCGGTTGGGACACTTGGGGCCACGTGCCGGACAAAAGATGCACCGGCGGATGGCAGGGTTTGTTTCTGTCCGAAGATTTGGTGCCTCTTCAGCAGCAGCACGCTGATGGGTTCCCCGCGTCGGCGTGTTGTTGGTATCTCGCTTCGCCCCCCGGAGCGTAGTGGGCGCTTCCGACTTCGTGCTGTGCGCTGCACGAGGGGCGCGCCGCAAGAACGGCGGCAGCAGCGGCGGTGAGCCCCTGGACCCGAGGCAACGACAAGGGCGGGGGTGAGGCTCCGTCCGACAGTCAAAAGCCACGCGCCAGCCTCGGGCATGCGTAGCTGTACGCGCCCTGCGCTTCAGCGGGCATCCAGCATGCCGGCACGAAGGCGAGGAACGCGCCAGTTCATGCAGACGTTCGGCCCATCGCAGCATAAAGCAACCGCGCTTCCAGACCCGGTGCTGCTGCCTTGGCGCACCGTTCTCTGGTTGGCAGGAGGGGATTGTTATGTGTGTTCGACCGGTTTCGTAGGTTCTGGCAGGTCTCTTTGCCTCGGGATGCGAATCGACAGCTGTGCTTCGCCGAGCGGCGTGCAGGGGTGCCCAGAGCGTCCCGAACGGCCGCCCGAGACCCGAAGTTCGGTATCGTTTAACCAATCCCCATCCCCATCCCCATCCCCTTCGAGACACCCACCACACTACCACCCAAGTTGGGGATGCACCCCTCGAAACCCGAAGGGAACGACCTGTATGCCCATCTAGGGGGGTAAATCGACCAGTTGGCCCAGGCCACGCCGCTGGCGACAGGGATCGGTTAAACGATACTCAGAAGTACCACCCGAACTCCGCCGGTCGACGGGGGGCGCAAGGACTCCCGACCGGGCATCCATCGCCAAGGGGGGCCAGGCAGCCCGGCCTGCCCAGGATCGGCGGCGGGCCGGGGGGGAAGCGGGAAGGAACAGGCCTTCATCGGAAGGCTCGGGCGTCCCCCGGCCCTCTGAGGAGGTTTCTGTGCCCTCCACGATGACTTCTCAGAAAGCGCGAGGGCTTCTGAGAAGTCCCGCCGCCGCCCGAGCAGGCCTTCTCCCTCTCATCTCCCCCCCTCGCCCCCCGCCGAATAGGGAGCCTGCGGCGTCGCTTCGGATCGGGCGCCCATGGCCCGCCGATCTTCGGAGCAGGACGTGTGGAGACGACGGGAGCTCGAATTCGGTCCCCCAGACTTCTCCCGCGGTGCAGACGCATCCCTTGTCCGAGCTGCGCCCAGCCGTGGCGACGAGGAGGCCCCCCAGGGCCAACTGCCGTGGTCTCACTCTCCTCCGAGGACTTATCGGCGGCGTAGCGCCAATCCTTGGCTTGTCCACGCTATGAGGAAACATAGACGACGTCGGGGGTCTGGGGAAGAGGGGAGGTCTAGGAGGAGGAGGAGGAGGAGGAGGGAGGAGGAGGAGGAGGAGGAGGAGGAGGAGGAGGAGGAGGAGGAGGAGGAGCTGCCCCCCCCCCTCGGAGGAGGGCCGCGCGGTGCCCGGGCCGCGCGCCGCGGAGCCCCTGGCCCTGGGCGACGGCCGCTGCGACGAGGCCCCCGCCGCGCTGGGGGGCCCGCGGGCGGGCGCGCTGGTGCCCGCGGGGGCGAAGGAGGCCCGAGGCCCGGAAGGGAGTCGGAGCGGGGGTGGACAGAACCCCCAACAGTGACACGTCGATTAGTGAATTGTCCGTTTTCGGTTCTCGAGAGGGCGCCGTGGCCGTGATTTTCCAGGCTTGCGCCCGCCAGGTTTGGGCCTCCGGTCGTTTTCACTAAACCACGTTTTACTAAAGGGGGGTCTGTCCATCCCCGATTGTCAGAGCGGGAAGAGTCGGGCAGAGAAGAAGAGTCAGCCCGGAAGGCAGTCTTGCTCCTCCTCCTCCTCCTCCTCCTCCTCCTCCTCCCCCTCCTCCTCCTCCTCCCTCCTCCTCCTCCTCCTCCTCCTCCCTCCTCCTCCTCCTCCTCCTCCTCCTCCTCCTCCTCCTCCTCCTCCTCCTCCCTCCTCCTCCTCCTCCTCCTCCTCCTCCTCCTCCTCCTCCTCCTCCCCCTCCCCGTCCCTCGGGGGGAGTCCTCGCCAGAGTGCGCCGCGGGCGCGGGCGGAGAGCGCGCAGGCGATCGTACACGTGGCGCAGTCTTGGGACGGTCTGGCGGCGTCTTGGAGGCATGATGGAGGCTAGCCTGGGCAGTGGCGTGCCATGTTTGGGCATCCGGTGCCACTTTGGAGCCATGTTGGCCGAAAAGCCTCCCACGAGTGCACCCGAGAGGCCAAGGCTCTTCAGGTAGGGAGGATTGCTCAGTGATTTTGTCTATGCCCGAAGGGGGCTGGTCTCATCCGGCGATCGCAAACGTGGATCAAGGGGGCGCGGATTGGCGACGGCTCCCGTGTCCCTGGGAGGTCGCGGGCTCCCGCCGCCGAGCGAGGCGGCACCGGCCGCATTTTGGGGGAAGCCACCTCCCCAGATCCATGGATTTGGCAACCGCGCGCCAATTCCATGGATCGCTAATCCATGTTTCCGCGCCCCCGGACAATGTACCCAGACGTCGGTCGCTGATAGTAGGTCTTTATGGACCCCCAGCTCCCAGTCTACTGCAAGCGCCTATGCCTACCTGCTTCAAGAATCGGCACGCTTTTGCTGTGTCCTGTGATTATCTGGTACGGCCTAAACGCAATCTACTTTATCCGCCTGCCTACTTCATGCTTTTTACTTTTAAGTCGGGCCTGTCCCCCTACAGGAGGGATATTCAAAGGTTGTCAACAAATAGTCTGGAGACGATTCTTTTACTTGTTTTGATCATTTTGGTATATTTTGTTTGCATTTTTTATTTTTCATCCAGAATCCGCCTGTAGGGGGAAATGCCCAACCTAAACTTATTTTTTCCGACCGACGTGCACTGCACATTTTCCATTGTTTTCCCATTTGTGGGCCTCCTGGGAGGCCCTCGTCATCACCGCTGGAATCGCCTCGAAATTTTGGTCGGAACGCGCCCCGGGAAAGGTCCCGGGAGTAGCGGTAGTGGCACCTGTTGGTTTACCCAGTCAGAGGAGGAAACGGGACAGCATGGGAGAAATTGGTCCTGAGGAAAACGGATCTTGAGGTGAGGTTTTTCGCCGTTTTGCTCTCGGGACCCTCATCGAGTTCCAGGACCGTCAGGAAACAATTCAGGATGGACAATTCGTTTTGGGGAATGGCACCAGGGTGCAGGCCCCGTTTTCCTCAGGACCCGTTAGTATCGGGAGATTTGAGACGGGGGCCAATGCAAACCGGGGTCAGCCAGGGTGTCAGATGTTGCAGGATTTTGCAAAGCCAGGGCTGCATTGATCTGGGCTAGCGCTCAGGATCGCGCAGGATCCTGCAGAGCCTGATTGGCCCCGGTGTGCATTGACCTTGATCAGTAGAAGCCCTAAAGGCATCCATAACTACCGTTGCAGTAGGCTTGCCCCGTGTTGACGCGGCCGCGACCCCAGCGTGGGCGTTCAAGTATAAACGCCGCCAGTGCTTCATAATCGGCCGACGGCGAGCGATCTGCGCGATCGTTGAAGACTGAATGATCCACGGGGCGTCAAAAACCAACGCCGGCGACATCGCGACGCGGACGTTCTCCCCTTTTTGGCCCTCGTGGGAGGCCCTCGTCGCCACCGCTGAATCCGCTTCGAAATTCTGGTCGGAATGCTCACAGGGCAAGGGGCGCCCGGATGAAGAGACTCAATGGATTGCCAGCATGGATTGAGTCGCGTGGATTAGCGATGGGCCCTGTTTCCATACAAATTCTTCCCGCTCCGCCACCAACTCGGGCGGCCTGGGCGCCATCTCTTCGGGATACCGTCCCCGATCCATTGACCTGGCGACCGCGCACCAGATTCACGTATTTCTAATCCACGTTAGCGTGCGCCCGAGGAAGAGAGGGACCACGGGACCCATCTACCCCCCGCTTTTGTGTTAGGTTTCGCTGTTGTTGGGAAGTCTAAGACGGTTGGGCTTTGCTGAAACATTTGAACGCATCCCGGGCTTGGTGCCAGGGGGGGGCGAAGTTTCGGTTTACAAGACACGAAACAGAAGCAACACGCGTGGTACCCAAACAGTGCGTTTCTTGCATTATACATGGTTATTCATTTCTGGCGTACAATCGATGTGGACCAATCTATGTTGTGCCATCCACTCTGCTGAACTTGAAGTCGTCATCTCCACTGCTCGCGCAGACATCCCACCCACCCACCCGCAACTTGATTTGCAAAACCTCTTAGGACCGACTACGACGACACCGACGACAACGACTACGACGACACCAACGACGTCTCCGACGACTTCGACGAAGACGACGACGCCGACGCCGACGAAGACGACGACGACGACGACGCCAACGAAGACGACGACGAGGGAGGAGGAAGGACGACGACGGCGACAACGGCGACAACGACGAGGGAGGAGGGAGGACGGCGACGACGCGAACGACGAAGAAGGAGGAAGGACGGCAACGCCGACGACGACAACGACGAGGGAGGAGTGAAGACGACGACAACGACGACGACGACGACGGCGACGAAATAGGAGGGACGACGACGAGACGCCGACGACGGACGACGACGACGACGAGGGAGGAGGAGGAAGGACGACCACGGCGACAACGACGACGGAAACGACCACGACGCCAAAGAGGACGATGACGACGAACACGAGGAAAGACAGAGGACGACGTAGGCGACGACGACGACGACGCGGGAGGAGGGAGGACGGCGACGACGACGACGACGACGACGACGACGACGACGCAAGAGCGCGCGCGCACGCTTTTGTTGACAATCCGTGTGCGAAACCTTGGGTTTGGTTTGAAGGATTTCGGCATACGCGCGCGACGACGCGCGCGTCTGCATTTCGTTTTCTTTTTGCAGAGGATTCTCGCGACGGCACACGCGCAAGGGCATTCGACAGATTTTGACATGCGCGCGCGCGAAGCCCGTTTGGTAGCATCTTGTGAAAATCTTGAAACACCAATGGTTTTCTTAAGATGCCCCAAGAGCTCGCGCGGAAGCTTTTTTAGCAAATCAGTGTTGCGAACCCTTGTGTTTTTGTATGTTTGTTGGGACTCGATTGCGAAATCCTTCCAGCACCGAAGGTTTTTGAAGGATGTAGGCATGCGCGCGCGACGACGCGCGCGTGTGCACTTCGTCACATGTTTTGCAAAGGATTCGTGACAACATGTTGGGTTAAAACAAAAATCATGTCACCGCATAGTGTTTTATTTACTAGGGACACTCAGAGGGGGGGGGATACCGACCCCCTGGGGATAGTGCGAACTCATACTTAGGATGGACATGTGACCAGAATCATTTATGATTTACATATCCGAACGGGGGGCGATAACGACGGGGGGGTCGATCCTCTTCTGTTGTTAGAGAGGAAAATCTACGTGGTGCAATTGACTACCCTGCACCGCGCTTGAACACTCCACTGCTCGCGCAAACATCCCACCCACCCACCCGCAACTTGGTTCGCAAAATCTCTTAGGACCGTGACGGTGGGTACCAAATGGCACTTGCCGACGACAGCGACGCCGACGACGACAGCGACAACGACGACGACGACGCCGACAACGACTACGACGACACCGACGACGTCTCCAACGACTTCGACGACGCCGACAACGA